AAGTTATTCTGACACATAAAACAAGTTAGAAAAGAACATTTTTAAATATTTTACAGCTCTTTGCTTGAATCAACTTAGTCATACATGTCAAGTTGTACGGATGTCCCTAAGTTGTAAGGATTTTACGTCATTTTGCAGGCATACGGACGTATAGAGCAATCTAACGGATTTTTTCAGTAACTCATTTTCAAATTTATATGCCTGTAGGATGATTTAAAAAAGAATAAATAACAAAAATTTACATTATTGAATTACATGTACAATGTACAATTACATTAACATCTGCGAGCTGACGGACTGTTTTTTTTTTTTGTCTCAGCCCACTTTAACACTGCGGTCAGTTTAATGAGCTGCTGACCCACATCGATGCTGATATCTCCAGCCAGAACAACAACTACAGACGGTCGATTTCAGCTAAAGTGTTCCTGTCTGTCTGTTACGGTTTAGTGGGCAGCATTCAGGAAACTGTCACGTGGAAAAATGAGTCTCTCTCATTGGCTACGTTCACACTGCAGGCAAATCCGACCCAAATCCGACTTTTTGACCCATCTGACTCATATCTGATTTTTTTATGACAGTCTGAACGAGACAAATCCGATTTTTTCACATCCGACCCAGGCCGTTTCAGTATGTGGTTTTAAATTGGATAHATATCTGATGTTTTCAAAGTGACTGCAGTGTGAACGCTCATGTCACATTCATCTGACTTTTCATCAGGAGGAGGGGGTGAAGGATCGATAAGACACTAACCTCMWGTCACGCTGTTTAAATCTGTAGCTCCATGTGTTTACAGCTCCAAAACACAAGTCCAGTTGCTTCATCTTTTTACTTTTTATTTTCCACATAGATAGTATAATAATAATGATGTACAGCCTGGGTCGTTGAGAGTATCGATCCTAAAGTTAGCTACTCGGTCAATACTTTTGTCCAGCTCGTAGTTTCGTTCAAAAAAAAAAAAAAAGCTTCACTGGAGCATCCCGATCAGAGGCAGGTTCAGATATAAACACTGAACTAAAGAAGCAGGTCAGATAATTATTTAATCGGCTCTGATTAAACAACAACTTCCGATTCGATGTGCTAAATGTAGCATCCATGCTAGCTCTGTAAACAAACAAGCCGGCTGATGAGACGTCACGTCTTTTACTGCGCATTCATGTCACATCAGTGCTGTGGAGCGTTCACACAGGGGTCTGATACAGGTCACATTTAAAATGTAATGTGAACGTTCACACCAAAACATCGGATTTTTTCAAAAAATCGGAATTGAGCATTAGGATCTGCAGTGTGAACGTAGCCATTGGTTGACGTGGCCCGTCAAGTGGCGAAAGATCAGATTTTTGAGCTCGAGCGTCGGCTGCTTTTGCCGCACCTTCTGCGTTCCTTGCGTGCCGTCCTAAACAAACCTGACGCGCCGCAAGACCCCTAGATGCGTGTCCTCCATAGACTTTGCATGTAAACTGGCTGCTCCTGCAGCTCAAAACGTGTTTGGTGTGAACGTAGCATAAGATACATCAGCACAGACCTCATATTTCGGTTTTATCATTTCACATTACTTACCCTGTTCGCATGAAAGGTAAAGGTAGGCTAGGTTTTAGCTGCTGTGCTTTCTTAGCATCATCAGCAGCATCTGGAGAGAGAAATAAAATGCATGCAGCAAGTTTATACCAATTTCATCTTCACTGCAGCGTTCATAAAATATCTAATACAGTATGAGGTTGTACTACTTAAAAGCAGTCTTGGTTTGTATTCAGCTAACTTTTCTGATGTGTGAACTTACTGCTGTAATTTTTCAGGAGTATGTGGGCATAGGCACGCTGACAAAACAACTCGGCGTTGTCACAATCTTCCTGCAAAGCCTCATTAAGTTCCTGAAAGGAAAGATAAAAATCTTAGACAGTTTATAAAACAATTTTCATGCATAAAAAGACTGCTTTACTTAGAGAAATAAATAGGAGGGTAAAATAGGTTAAATTAATTTCTGCAACATTGGTTGTAATTTGATGATTGGGAAAAAACTAAGAACCATAAAACAATAAGTTTATGAAGTCTCCTACAGTCAACTGTTCAGCCCAAATACCACCATGATTTCATGCAGTGTCCATTTAAGGTACACTAAGCAGAATTACTAACAGGAGTATGAAATGTCAGCTAATTGTCACAAACAAAAGTTATTGGTTAGCTTTCAGTTTCATTCTGTTAAGAATGACGCTGTATATTAATGGAGAATAATTGTATTTATTACAATAAACTTTGTATTTTCTATTAGTTAGAAAATCGAGAAACGAACTATCCAAATAAAACAGAAATGTTTTTTCCAAACCTGATGCAGTCATTTTGAAAATTTGAGGTACAGGACATGTTAGCCCGGAGCTAGCTTAAAACAATCCCAACATTAAAACCATACGTCATAAGAGCTAATTACTAAATGCTCAGACATATAATTTTAAGCCTATCGGAACAAGAATAGGTATTCGGCTGCATGCTGAAGTTTACCTCCAGAGCTTTCTGTGGATCTTCGTCAATGAAGCTGTCGGAGAAGCTGCTAAAACCGAAAGCAAGAGACTAAATATTAACAAGCTGTTTGAAAACATTTTGTTTAAATGAAACCAAATCCTTCTAAAGGTTTAACAGAACTTGCCGTTCGGCTGCCATGGATTTATCGTGAATGTGGACAATATTTCTGGAGCGCAGGAAAGTTCTGGATGGAGAGACTTCTGGAAACGTGATAGCGGGAAATGTCAGAGCTTGAAGGCAGCAGAAAGTTCGTCAACATCCGGGTAAACTGAGTTCTCACACTCCGCCGCAGCGCCACCAATCGGCCTGGAGGTGTCAGTCTTCAATTAACTACATTTCTCTGCACGGGAACAAGCATAAGTGTCATGTTATTTTAAATTAAAATATTTTATTTTAAATTAAAATATGTAATCATATATTGTTCATGCCTGGCATTAGCTCAAGTACTCGACAGAGTCTGCAGTGACTTCATGAAGATGCTGGAAGTTTTAGCTGGAAACTGTGAAGGGTAGGAGTGAAAATGAAGTCAGCATTGTACAGGTTCTTCTAAAAAACTTAGCATATGGTGATAAAGTTCATTATTTTCTGTAATGTACTGATAAACATTAAACTTTCACATATTTTAGATTCATTGCACACCAACTAAAGTAGTTAAAGCCTTTTATTGTTTTAATATTGATGATTTTGGCAAAAAGGTAAAGAAAAACCAAAAATCCCTATCTCAAAAAATTAGCATATTTCATCTGACCAATAAAAGAAAAGTGTTTTTAATACAAAAAAAGTCAACCTTCAAATAATTATGTTCAGTTCTGCACTCAATACTTGGTGGGGAATCCTTTTTGCAGAAATGACTGCTTCAATGCAGCGTGACATGGAGGCAATCAGCCTGTGGCTCTGCTGAGGTGTTATGGAGGCCCAGGATGCTTCGATAGTGGTCTTAAGCTCATCCAGAGTGTTGGGTCTTGTGTCTTAAGCTCATCCAGAGTGTTGGGTCTTGTGTCTTAAGCTCATCCAGAGTGTTGGGTCTTGTGT